CGCGGCTGGGCGCAGCTGCCGCAGCTGCAGGGCGCCCGGGACGCCTCGAGCGGGAGACGGAGGGGAGGGATGGAGGGCTCCGAGGCTGCTGTCCGCGCTCGGGCAGCACAGACTCCTCAGGAAGTAGTTTCCAACTTTTACCTCCTTAGGAGGCTCGGAGTCTTAGTGCCCGGAGACCTGCGACTAGAATTCAGCGTCAGAGCTAGCAACGTCCCTCCTGTCACTCCTTCCTTATCTGTCCTCAACTTTATATTTTTTTGTTTTTTTGGTTTTTTTTTTTTCACCTCTAGAACATGGACTTCGCACGCCTCTGGCTGGGGCTGCTGTTGCCTTTGGTAGCTGCGCTGGATTTCAGCTACCACCATCAGGAAGAAATGGAAGCGTTTTTGAAGAATGTTGCCCATAACTACAGTTCTATCACTCACCTGCACAGTATTGGGAAATCTGTGAAAGGTAGGGTTCTGATCTCGGGCTCTTTGCCAACCCCTAGCCTTTATTTTCATTCATTAAATATGCTCAGCTTGTCTGTCTCCTCTCCATGGAGCTACTCAGAGGGTCTCCAGGCGGGCACACCAGTGCCTGGCGAGTGGGTTGCTTTCCCCTTTTGTGTGTTTTGTTGCTCTATTTTGTTGGGGGAATTGTAGGAAGGTACATGTCTCTGCTGTTATTTGGTGTCACTGGATCCTAGGCGTTAACTTCTGCTTTGAGTCTTGCAGAAATTGGTATCCTGGAGTTACTCCTTTTTCAGATAAACTTCTGACAAGGAAGTTCGTTTATCTAGCTCAGATTTCCCTTTTTGTTGGCTCTTTTAAATATGATTTAGACTGTTAATATCATTTGGTCACACATCTTCTAAAATAGTGCAGTTGTATTGGTAAAATTTCTGCCTGGTATAATTAAGCCCTATGGCTTAGTTATTCAAAACTATCATTTTATAAGCTTCTTTAATTTTAAATAATACAGTTCTGTGTTATGCTTTGTGTCATAAATAATTAGTTATGCAAAAAAGGAGTCTTTGATACCAATTAAAGACTTTTTAAAATTATACATGTTCTGGATAATAGATATGTTAGCAGTAATTGGCACTACTTGAACTGAGCTCTTTCACCCTTATCATTTAATTGCTTTATGTTTTAATTTAGGAGTTGCTTAATAAATAGAAATATAACTATATTAAGAAATTCTCATTTTTATAGGTTGGGAATTTGAGTCAGAGGGAAATTAAGTCTTTTGTCTAAGATCGCTCAAATAAATAAGCTTTAGAACCTGAATTGGTACTCCAAGACATTTGGGGAACAAGACAAATAGTTGGATACTACTTCTTAATTTTCTTTTATAATATAGAACCCCCGAAGTGATTACCAAAAAAAAAACCTTAATGTTTAAATCAAGCAATTTGGCAAGTTCATGCAATTTTGGATCTCACCTTTTTATGAGGTGTGTTCAAACTCTACCTGCATATTAGCTGTGAGCTTTTGAGTCAACTGGGATTGGTGACCGTATTTTTAACCATTTTCCGAAGCTATTTTAAGGTCATGGCTTTTCTATGAAAGAGGTATTATGTAAATTTACTTACATGCAATGCAAAATAAAAATCCAGGACGATGTGTAATGGTACCTTTGTTTTAAAACAACATTGCCAAAGAGTTGGTGCCAGAATTACTGTCTATTATTGCTCTATAACCCAAAATTATAGAGGTTGGATGTGTGAGAAACCATATCTTGAATCAGCATATGTATGCAACCTTTTGAAATCATTTCCCTCTAGGGCTAGAGAAGAGCAATTTCAAAAGATCTAAGAATACTAATTATATTAATAAAGGAAATATAGAACACAACCTGTTTGAGTTATTGTTCCGTCATCATTTTAACCACAAGATGATGAGAATGCTGTTAATTTTAAGTACTATATGATTTAGTAAGTTTTTAATGTTTCAAGTACAAAGTGCATTTGGAGGAAAGTTAGGGTCTCGCTTAATGTGAACCAGCTATTCTGATTTGCTATGTTAATATCAAACCACAGTAATAGTGAAAGTTACAACAGGCTTTTTTTTTCTTTCTTAACCTCATATGCATTCTTGTGGTTATTAAAGGATTGAGGAGTTACCATGTGAAAATAAAATCTGACACTAGTGGTCAAATCTTTGTGTTGAGTATGTTGTTCTGATAATTACTTGGATTAAGAAAAATCCCAAATCTGTCATTAGGCTCCAAGTGGTATATTAAAGTGTGCACTAGTCCTGGGAGTTGGCTGCCTAAGTATCACGGCATGTTAGCACGAGCATTCAAAGACTGCTCCTTTGGGCGCTCTTTTCACTAGATAGACAATTTTCCCTGGGCATCCTGCCCTCTGGTGTATGATAACTTTGTTTAGTAAGTAGGATTTGCTACATGTGTTATTTTTATTATAAACACTCAACAAACTATCCAGGAGAAAAAGTAGTATTTCTACCTGACCAAATGCTTAGTTTTATAAATTCATTTTATTGTTGTAATCATGGATTCTATTCTGCTTCCCCACCCCCATTTTATATCTTTTCATCGCATATGTCCATAAATTGACAAAATCTGCAGTCCAATGAATTGGTTGCTATAGCGTTGTCCTCTAGATTTTATGAATGCTCTTCCAAACATCTGTAAGGCTTCTGATGATCTTATATACAGTGAGGCTATAAAACCATTGATAAAGATCACATGAATTGGCTTAATTTATAACAAATTTGTTACTTTTGTAATTTTCCAATTTTAATTTGAAGCATTTGAAACCCACACCAAAGTTGAGCACATGGATATGCTTCACCTAGTTTCAGCCATAGTAGACTGACCATATTTCAGTTAAGCCTTTTGGAGGAAACCCCATGATCTAATGAAATAGTAAGGAAAACCTTAGGTAAAATACAGGAGAAGCTCAAAAAGTACAACTGAGTAAAATCAGAAATAATATAATGTTCATTGGTTCCTTCTTTTATTCCTTCAGTGAAGCGAGCACCTCCCTTTTTTATTCAAACCCCCTTTGTTTAGAAGGATTTCTGATACATTCATTAATCTATATTTATTAAAGATTTATGGTTATTTATGTATACAAGAGCTGGGGTGCAGGCCAGATGTTGGGGGATGGGGTGAGAGGATTTGCCAAAGACAGAGGGGGAGCAGAACAGGTGGATCTACTGAAACCCACTGCTAAGGAGAGCAGCAGTGAGACAGGAGAGGTCTGCTGAGCCATGTGGGTCAGCTCCCTGGCTGGGGATGGAACTCATGCTGCAGTGGCTGGTAGTAGCTTGATAGCATTGAGACTTCAACCCCTGCACCACCAGGGAGGTGCTCAATAATCTATATTTATTTGTTTAATGGATTACATAAAAACCTTATGAGGCAAATATTGTGCCATTTATTCCCTGCTGTCAGGTCTTTTAATCTTATTTTTTATCTTTTAAATTTTTGTTCTTCTTTTATTCTTGTTTCTTTTTTATTTTCCTATAAAATACAAATGTATTTATTATTTATTTTTCCAGTTAACCTCTGCACATCCCAAAAAAATTAGTTCTAGGGCTATTTAAAGTGAGATCTCTTGCTACCCTATTTTAGAATTCTTTTCTTACCTTCTGCTAAGTCTGATCTTTACTATCTGAAAAAGGAAGGTTGCAAAGGGAAAGGTGTAGATTATAAAAGTCATTTATCGGCCCTCCCTGGTGGCTCAGCGGGTTAAAGCACTGCACTAAGAAGCTTAAGCCAATTCCTCATGATTTCGATCCCCGCCTGCCCCAGAGGAGTCCACATGGCGTGGCAGACCTCTCCTGACCCACCCGCTGCTCCCCTCAGCAGTGTACTTGGTCGATCTGCCTGTTCTGCTCCCCACTCTGTTCCTGGTGAATCCTCTCACCCTCCACATCTCTGGCCTGTACCCCAGCTCTGTATGAATAAATAAATAAACCTTTAAAAAAAAGTCATTTATCAAGTGCTTTCCACATATTAGGTGTTTTAATGCTCTTTTAATCTCAACAACTCAAAGAAGTTATTATCCTCATTTACAAACCTGGTCTCGGAGATACAGAAAGTTAACTTACTGAAGATCACAGGTTGAGAAATGTTAGAAGGTGTATTCAAACCCAGACATACATACATCCTCAGCACGCAATACTTTAAAGAAAAAAGCAGGAGCTTGACACAGATACTGACAGTTGCTGGAGACTGAGGTTGTTTTAGAAAGTTTGTGATCCCGCTTTGGGCACATTTGTTTCGAAAGTACAGCTTCTGCCAAGGATCTGTACTGGCCAGCAGGGTAGCCAAGAGGTACTTAGCTGTGAGTGGACAGATGTGCTAGACGTGACTCTGAAAACTTAACCCTCAGAAGTAAAACATTTCAATGACATTTTTATACACTACATATTAAAATGGTAATATCTTGGATAAATAGATTAAAAAAGGAAATAATTTCAAATTAATTTCACTGGTTTCTTTCATTTAATGTGATATGGTTATGAGAATATTTTAAATTACCTCTACGATATGCACCATATTTTGATTGGGTTGGGCTGCTCTAGAGAGTTTTGTGAATGGTATTTTTCTGAGTTCAAAAGGATTTCAAGCTCATTTAGATAAAAATTAAAATCTCACCACCTGAAGAAAACATTTGGTAAAGTGGAATCACTGAGTACACTGTTTGCTGACACTCCCCACCCCCCTTGCCGTCACCATCCAGCAAACCAACAGACCTGTTTCTAAAACTTGTTGATTAATGCCTGCCTTATAGTCCATCAATGGATATACTGTTCTTAACTTACTCCTCACTGGTGCACAATTGGTTTCTGAACTTTTCCTGTTCTGAACAGTGCAGTTGTGAGCACCCTCCTAGCTAAGATAGAAGTCTTCAGAGCAGAAACTTTACAACCACCATGACTAGTTCAAATGTTAGATCCTATACTTTGTAACATATATCCTTGCCGGGTTATTAGTAGATGCAGAGTAAATGCTACATAAAAGCTGCTATTTGAGATACATTAGCTCTATTAGGGATACATTTACCCAAAGGAAATTACTGGGTTTAAAGCAATTTTATCTATTTCTACTTGTAACCAAACTGATTCTTAAAAGAATGTGATGATTTATAATTTCATGAAAAACATTTGCTAAGAAAAAAGTCTTCTAACATGTATATTTATCAATCTAGCATTAGTGGTTTGAAAATATCTATGGTGTTTGTCCTAAATTCCAGTTATATAAGTACCTTCCTAGTAGATTTAAAATTTTGCTACGTGTGGGTCTTATGTTTTCTTATAGTAATAACAGTAGCAGCAGCAGTAGCAGCAGCAATAATTAAAAATAATAATAATGGGGGGCCCTCCCTGGTGGCGCAGCAGGTTAAAGCACAGCACTAAGAAGCTTAAGCCACTTCCGCATGAGTTCCATCCCTGACCGCCCCGGAGGTGACCACATGGCACGCAGACCTCTCCTGA